ATGGCTGATATGGCACAAAGGAACTGTTTTGATCCTTGAACTCCACCTATCTACAAAAAAACTACAGCCAAAATATTGTGAAGGAATGTATTAATATTTTTTGGAACAACTCCAACTCGGTCAAAATCCTTTCAAGACTATCGGTCTGTTGTGCCTCGCGCAGTATCAGCCATGGGGCACCTATTGCCAATTTACTCCATGTAAAAATTTCTTCCTTTAAAAAGAACATGCTCCCATGCTGCACGCTAGCATTTCCTTGGCAAATTATACCTACCAAGTTGTTTTCACACTTCCAATAGTAGAGAAATTGCTTGAGATTACTTTCAATTGTAGCCAAATGAGCAACAATAAAGTTTACCCTGACAAGAAAACTACTTCACATAAGTGTTCCCAACTTAAGTAGCAAACACTTTTTTTTAAATGAACTCATACTCAACCTAGAGCTAAAATAAAAGTACACTTAATCCAGGTATTATTGTATCCAACATGCAACAAGAGATTTCTACAAAACATTGTAATATTTATTTCTTGAAAAGGTTTAGCTATATATGTCACATAATGCATCCAGTCTGATTAAAATGTTGGAGATTGTGGTTGCACAATGAAAGACCCTAAGCAGCTTTCATTCACGTAGCACAGCCAGACATCACACACACATTATATAATCTAAACTCCTGAGAGCAGAACCTCACTTCCTCACCATTCAGCCACGTTCACTGAATAAGCAGACTGACATCTAGTGAACCCCAATGAGCTAACACACAGACACGTGAAAAGCTATTTTTCCAACTACGTGCACAGGGCATCCCTCTATAAGTCGCCCCAGGATACATCTGTTCCGCACTAAAGTCGTTGATGCTTGGAGGAACTGATGTGTTATACGTCCTCCCATTCCCTGCTCTTTGGAACGTATCTTGGCCTGATAGCGAGGAAGGCCTGTATTAGATTTTTAAGCAGCATGAACCAAATCAGTTTGGTTAAAAACTTACAGCTGCCTATTAACTTTTCTGTATCCAGCAAATAAAAACAAAGGGAAAAGCCCATTACATGAAAAAATTCCCCCATTACAACTACAGTAGCTTTTGCCTCTTCCAAGGTTGTACTGACTTAAGATGCCTTTTAGGTCATCTGAACACTACTGCACCATTAATGAGTTCCATCAGTTTGAAGACAAACAGGAAGTTTCAGCTAAACTTATTTATATATCTTGAGGGGGAAAAAAAAAGTCAGCAACATCAATTACAAATAATGCAATTTCAAAGAGAAAATGCTTCCTTTCTTCATCATTACACATTTAGTCTTCCATTAGCCAGGAAGAAAAAGGTTTAAGAAATAATTACCCACAAATTCGATTTGACCATGTACATACAAAATATTTGCATTTTCCTTTACCAGTAACTGAGCAATATGTTTACTTATTCTGTCTGTAAAAACACAAAGAAAACGTGAGAGATATTTATGTTATATATTTGAAGCAGGATACTTTCATGCATTATTGTTAAAAATAATCTCTTTTCTCCATTATTTATAATGCTCTTCAATACTTGAAAATCATCTGTGCCTGACATTTCAGCCTCTTCCAAAACTTTTTCTTCTCTTCTCCTAATGAAGCAGAAGTCGCCATTGTTTCATTTATCTCTCTTTCTTGTAATGCAACATCAAGTATCGCATCAGAAAGGGTAAAAGCAACTATGGAAATTCTGTTTATTTAATGAACTCCTATTTCACCACTGACACACTGAGTTTACATACGGTGTTATTTTGGCGCTGCAAAATGGTAGCTTTAAACAACCCTATTGTAAAAAGAAAATGTAATTGTCATCACTAGGAATGTTAAAATGCGGTTAATGGATTAGTCAAGTATAATCAATGGAATTTCCATCGACTAGTTGACAGGCACTTGTACATTTCAAAGGAGGAATGCAGAACTTCACATACAGCCTGGGGCCAGTGGGAAATCCCCCTGACTCCAGGCTGCAAGTGGTGCCTGTTTTGAAATGTACAAGAGTTCCTGTGCATTTCAAAACTGTGGAGTCTGGGGTCAGCTGGGGAGTCCCCAACTGACCCCAGTTCTGCACTGGCATTTCCCCAGAACCCGGGGTCAGCTGGAGAGTCCCCAGCTGACCCTGGGCTCAGCATTTTAAAGGGGCAGCACCTCTTAGCTGTGCAGAGCAGCTGGTTTGAAGTACCCTTCCCCTCCTCCCCCCTTTGCAGCCTCTATCTCAGAGGCAGCAAGGGGGGGAAGGGGAGGAATGCTTATCCGATAGTGGACTAGTCTTTAACATCCTTAGTCATCAGCTACAACATACATAAGGTAAATGGAATTATATTCCTAAACTGTTCTTCAAAGCCACTAACGGACCAGGATCCAGCTATATTAGAGACTGCAGGCAACAAAAGCTGATAGACACAAATACCACTCTATACAGAAACCTACTGACTGCTATACTTACACACCTCCAGCTGTCACCCAGAACACATCACATAACCCACTGTCCACAGCAAAGCCCTAAGATACAACTGCATTTGCCCCAATCCCTCTAACAGGCACAAACAGCTCCAAGATCACTAGCAAGCACTGTTAAAACTACACTACCCGCCTGGAGAAGTGAGGAGACAGCCAGGCCGATACCCAGAAATCACCTACGACAAGACCGGCACAACAAAAAGCAACAGAAAGCCACCAGCCACTTCCGACAGCCCCCAGCTGGGATGAAGATCCCTCGCTCCCACAGACCTTGGGAAGCAGGCCAGCCCTCGCTTGTAGACAGCCCCCGACCTCAGAAATACTCACCACCAACTTCACCCCCCAAACACACTCTCAACAAGGAAGCAATCCCTGCAACAACCTCAACACATCTACCCTAGTGACACTGTCACAGGACCTAACCAAATCAGCTAGAGCAGGGGTCGGCAACCTTTCTGATGTGGCGTGCCAAGATTTCACCTTCCTGTCCTGGGCCAAGCCGCTCTTTTGGGAGTGGCTCTCTCCACCGCACGCACCGATTGGACTCCTGCCCTGGGCTCCACTCTGGCTCTTCCTGTGGGAGGGGAAGAGCAAGGCACACCCGCTTCCCGGCAAGCCAGATTTGGCGTGGAGCCTTGGGGCTTCCCCCCCACTGCAGGAAGCTGGCGCTGTCTCCAAGCTTGCAGGAAGTGCAATGCTAGATCACCAGCACGGGTTCCCCATTGTTGGGCGGGGGGAGCAAGTTCATTGCACATGCCATGGAAAATCATCTTGAGTGTCACTTTTGGCATGCATGCCGTAGGTTGCCAACCCAAGTAGTAGCATCAAAGACTCATTCACGTGCACATCTACTAATGTCATATGTGCCAGCAACATCTCTCTGCCGGGACATCGGACAAACCGGACTGTCTCTATGCAAAAGAATAAATGGACATGCATCAGACATGGAGAACGGCCACATACTCAAACCAGTGGGGGAGCACTTCAATCTCCCTGGGCACACAGTTTCATGTTGCTATTCTCAGGCAAACACACTTCAAGAACAGACAGCAATGGGAAACTGATGAGCTGGAATTCATATGCAACATTGACAAATAAAACCTCATTTTTACAGGGTCTTTTTATAGGATCTTTCGAAAAAGCTCCCCGTTTTCAAAAGAACCGCATCTAGATCGCGGTTTCAATTTCAAAATAATGCTTTTTTGAAAGAGCGCCATTACGTGATTATGCAAATGAAGCGCAGGATATTTAAATCCCAGCTTCATTTACATCCCTCTGACATCTAGACTACATCCCTCTGTCGGGTCTCAACATGGCTACCTCTCTGAAACACTTTCGAAAGTACCTACATCACTTAGGCACCTCAATTCCACTGAAAATCTATAGGAATGAAAGAAGTTCCTAAATCATACTATATAGTCCTAGGCACGTCCAGCCCTGGTTATCAGGGAGACAAGGATAATATTTCATTGGGCCACTTTCTGTTGGTGAATAAGACAAGCTTCCAAGCACACACAGATATAGGAAAGGAGGTACTCCCAGCATCACAGCAAACTGCAGACTGGAACTACTTACTGCAAGTAGGCAGTTAGCGCATATTCTAGGGGACCATTAACCCTTCCTGTATGTGACCACTAGGGGAATCTTTGGACAGCGGCACACGGTGTATGCACACATAAGGATCCACATGAGCACTCACTGAAAGAAGAGCTTTCTATCACCAATGTAACTGGAATGAAAGGCATGCAAGGGTATGGTGATGGTGACCGTACACAAACCTAAAAGTAGATACAGCCAGACAGTATCATTGACACCCAATGACCTCTACATCCTGAACCACGTAATACTTCACTTACAATTGCTTGCCTTAAAAACGCACTAACCCTGATTCTTATGCCCTCCTTGCTGAAACATGTCAGCCTAGCCCTCTGGTCTTTTTGACTCTGGAAAGTACAGAACGGCTCTCCCTTCTCTTTCAGATGGTGCCACATGTTTCACTAGGAAGGGTTCATCTTCCTGCAGAATATTAAGAAACCCAAGAGCATCCTTGGGTGCCAGGCTTTTGGGGGGGGGCGGGGGGGGGGAATGAACATGTAACCTCAGACAATGATCAGGACCCATGCATCTCAGGTCACTGGGAGTCAGCAGTAGAGCCCTCCAAATCCGCAGGTATTTGCTTTATATCCAGGGACTCTCTTTGCGGATAGCAGCTCAGATGAGGATACAAATTTTGCATGCTGTGGGAATTCTGCACTTTGGAAAGACCAGAACCAAAATCTCACATTAGAAAATCAAGAGCCAAGGTTGAGAATTCTTCCAGGTGGTATCTTTAGAAAGAATTCTGCCACGTCTCAACCAATCATGCCAGTCTGTCTGTCAGTCCTCCTGGCTAAACCCTGGCATAGGACAACACTCGCTTCCTACATTGGTGATCTCCTAACCCTTTTACCACAGAAAATAAGACAGTAGTGTGCATGCTTCCCCCAGCCTCCCCCAGGAATAACATTAGAAAGAAATGTCTTTTTCTTCTTACCAGAACTGGGCATATGGTTCACTCTAGGTGGATTTAGCAGCTCTACTGGCTGATCTCGGCCAGAAAGTCCATCTGGAAAACACAAAAAGGATTTGACATCATCACCTGCTTGTGGACTGTCTGGTAGCTCAATTAACCCAAGTCACTAGCAGAGCCCTTGCTGGGCAGATGCAGACCAAGCAATTGCTTTGGGCCCCAAGCAGCTTAAGGGGGCTCCTGGCTAAGTATTAGTCTGTGTTTGGGAGGGAGAAAATAATATTGCTGCATAGCGCACCCAAGAGGCTAGCACCACCTCTGGTCATAAACTAACCCTCAGTGCAAAGGAAAAAAACCACACCAACATCACAAATCATTTTAAAGAAGGATGCAGTAAGTCAGCATCATCGTCGCTATAGACCAAGCCAGAAAATAAGAACCCTTCTCTAACCTGTTCTGCTCTGGTTTGCATTTAGTGCTTAATGTACCTGTCAGGACTCCGGGAGATCTTATCAAGCTTACTACTAACAAGGTACCTATCACTGAATAACTAAATGGCTATTCCTTTTTCTATTTCGTAAGAGTGCGGTGAAGCTCCTAGCAGAAAGAGAGCCTTCAGATACATTCTATAAGCAGCTGTAATATCTGGAAGAGATGGTAAAGAAAACAGAGTACACTGCAGAAGACTAACACAGATATGAATCCTGTGCCATTTTGCAGTGGGTTGGATTTTATACACAAGTCCAAGCATTGTCAAAACATTTCTCTGTTTTAAAGATCACACCTTGCACACAAAACAAGTTGAGGCAGAAACAGAAGTCGTTACAAGTTACTACTGCACAATGAATGGTGCACCAAACTTCTTGATTTTTTCCCCAAAATGAAGCAATGAAATTATTTATTGACCTTGCAACATGGTTCCACACACCCACTTTCCCACCTTTTTTGTTCATTCTTCTCCAGCATCTTGCTGTCTACCACCTTCGAATATCAATACAGGTGAATCAAGCTATATAACATCAAAGCAGGTACCGGATCGCTCCACAGTCAAATAAAAAAACAGCACTGAGTTTACCATTTACATGTTAATTTTTTCATTACATAAATAACGCTGGCTCATTTTTTCTGCATATTCTCTCTAGTCCAAACAGTTTGAAGAGAAAATGGAATTAAGTGCCCTATTTGTTGTGTGCATCAATTGTTGTGTGCATCAATTGTTGTGTGCATCAATTGTTGTGTGCATCATATTTAGTACCACTCAGTTTGGTAAAACCTCAGGAAAATATGTGCATGAACTGAGCTGAGCTTTTCTTTTAGCACATTCCAGTTAAGCCATTTGGGCTTGGTTTGTTTGTTTTTTAAAGGAAATATAGCAGCCAGTAAAATGATGGAGGATTCCGCAGCAACAGTGCAATGGATTAGAGATTGGCATTTGGATGAGAACTAATTTCTGCAGAGAGTTAATTTGGACAAGACACAGCTACTATTAAATTGGAGAAGGGCAATACAGGAACTGTCTAATCATCTACATCAGCAATACTAACGAGTCATGTACAATTGTTTGTTTTTCAGGTTCACAAATTCGTGGCTTTAATAAAACAAAGTTTACCTAATAAAGAGCCCACTGTCCCATCTATTGTTAATAAGGGGAGTGCAACTTTGTTTGGGACGCAGCGCTTGGTACATTTATCTATGCATTTATCAACTTACCATTAGACCGCTGCAATACTATTTAGGGATACACCTCCCGTTATTCAGAAGCAGAAGCTCCTCCAGAATGCAGGAACTCACATATTACGTGGATCTTTGCACTAGAATACACGCATTCTGAAAGCTCTCTGTCAGCCTCCAGGTCAAATTCAGGGAACTGGTCTTAGGAAAAAGAGTCAGGTGTCACCTCCCGAAATAAGTAAATTCTCTTAGAGGGACTTAGGAGTTTCCGAAAAGCATAATAGGAAAAAATATCTAACAAGCAATACAAAAGCTACTCTGATCAAGTGGTTAGAGTTTCCACAATTTTTGTGGAAAATATTAAAATTCCACCCAATATTAAGCATGCATATTCATTGCTATTAAAAATAGAAGGCCATTTTAAAAAACAAAAGTTAACATGTAGGCTTAAAAGAAGAGATTTTTAAAGCATGACAACTGCCAAATCAAGCCAGATTTTCACCAGATAAAAAAAACAAAACATCTATCCAGTTTAAGACCTCTTTTCCCAGCAAAATGTCAACATTATTCGGGAGTGTATGGCTATAAACAACAAGATCAGAAAATCTGTGTGGGTTGCCTTTACTCTCAAAAAAGATTTTATCATGTCTAGGCAAACTTTCAACCTTCTTTTTTAAAAAAGGAGGTGGGGAGGGGAAGAGTGTGGAAGAAATCCTCATTCTGTCAACAGCAAATCTAGTGAAAGTTTGAGAAAGCTCTGAGCAACTCAAAACCAGCTGTTGCAAGAGTACTGATCAGGCAGCCTTACACATGTGACTACTCACTCTAGGTATATCAGAGAAAAAACTGTAAAATATTTTAAAAGAAAAAACGTGCAACAACAGCCAATACAACATATGTTGTGCTACCACACTGAAAATGTGCTGGCAGTCTTGAGGAAATTTTCCTTCGGGTCCTGAATAAAAAAAACCAAGCTTTTTCTCTGCTCCTGCAGAGCTATGTTCCCTTCTTACCATGGTTACTCGAGATGTTCAGTTCATAGTTCTCAGAACGTGCAACTGACCTTTCCAAGAGAAATGCTTTTACAGGGGCTTATGCCAACACTCATGAATAAGCAAAGAGATGGGAGACATTCTGGATTGACAAATGACAAAGTGAATAAAATTAGTTTCCTTTACTAAAATTCCATAGGACTTTTAACCCTTTCTTCCTAGCCACCGAACACACACAGTCCAATTAATCAAGGCAAATGTAATTGAAGGGAAAAAATATTTCTCCTATCTGTTTTACCAAGTCACCTATACTACCTCCCCGTTTCTCTGTCCCCGCTTCCTCTTTGTGCTCTCTGGGATGGGGAGTGATAGCTCATGGCAAAGTTACATATCCTAGAAAAATGTGGAGAAGGGATATAAGAAGGGATACGTGATGCCATGTACTCAACCCACTGTGGTTAAGATAGTTAACACCTGTCTATAGGAGGGCCTAGTATCAATAGCCTTCAGCTAATAAGTCATGAGCTCAATGAGGCTATTGATCATGCCAATTACTGCCTTTATTTCATAAGAACGTAACAGCCGCCGTACTGGGTCAGACCAAAGGTCCTTCTAGCCCAGTATCCTGTCTGCCAACAGGGGCCAGCACCAGGTGCCCCTGAGAGGGTGGACCGAAGACAATGATCAAGCGATTTGTCTCCTGCCATCTCTCTCCAGCCTGACAAACAGAGGTCAAGGACACCATTTTATCCCCTAGCTAATAGCCTTTTATGGACCTAACCTCCATGAAATTATCTAGCTTCTCTTTAAACTCTATTATAGTCCTAGCCTTCACAGCCTCCTCTGGCAAGGAGTTCCACAGGTTGACTACACACTGTATAAAGAACTTTCTTTTATTAGTTTTAAACCTGCTATCCCTGTATACAGATTCTCTGTATCTTTTTTTATTCAAGTTATTCAGTAAGGATCAGTGAGTCAGCGGGGGTCATCTCAATTCCACATAATGTGATCCTTTTCATTCTAGCTTTAGGACAGGGCATCACTCAAAGAGAACACTGCTCTTGATAATCCGCCTGCAGCCTTCCATACAATGGCATCAGCTCAGAACGGTTTACTTGTCTAAACTGGATGACTCTTCAACACCTCTGTTGTCAAGGGGCTCCTAGCAACTACTCTCAGTAGCTCAACAGATACTCACATGGAGTTCTATGCTGATCTATTCCATCACCCAGGCACTGGGGCAATTTGGGTGGACAGGTGTTTGGGGCCTTTTGCCAAGAGGCATGCAGATCATACAAAAATTATCGCCTTCCGCAAGCCCAAATGGGGAAGAAGTTCTGCTCTCTCAGTATCCAACCAAGAAAAGCACTAGCTGACAAGTAAGCTAAAGCTCAGCCCAGGCAAAACAGACACTGTTCAGTGCCAGAGGGTAGCAGACCAGGCTAACTAAACTTTTAAAAGTTTGCAGGGTAGAAATACTTCCAGGCCTGATAACTCCCAAACCCTCACTTGGCACTAGTGACCAGAAATATCTTCCCCTCTCCCAGTAATTCCTGGCTTTCTAATCCTAGGATTGGGTACAACGGTGCTGGTCTCTGCACGGGCCCAATTTAAAAGGCTGCACAGAGCATACTGTTAATGGTAAATGCCGGTGCTCACCAGGGACCAGGAGCAAGGCTACATCTAAGCACATCATACTCATTTGATAAAAGCAGCTGCATTCCACTAGCTCTGTGGTATGGGTCAGAGCATACATTTAGGCTCAGTCTAGATTGCATCCCTTTTTCGGAAAAGGGATGCAAATTAGACGTATCGCAATCGCTAATGAAGCGGGGATTTAAATCTCCCCCGCTTCATTAGCATAAAAATGGCTGCCGCTTTTTTCAGCACGGAGCTTTGCCGGAAAAAAGCGCCAGTCTAGACTCGGATCTTTCGGAAAATAAAGCCTTTTCCAAAAAATCCTTTCTGAAATAGTAAAATGGAGAGGCACGAATTCCTGGAATGACACTTGAATGTCACATTAACAATTGCATTATTGATCGTTTTAGCAGCTGGAATGAGGATGGAGGTGGGAAAGAAGGCCTGGCAGTGGAAATTGCTGTAGGCAATGACATGCAGAGGGCAGAAGAGAAGATATAAAAACATGGGGATGAGAAACAAAGTAGGGTTCAGAAGCAAGAGAGGACAGAAATATAGCGATGTCCTAAGGTGGAGGGGGGGACATGTTCCCTCCGAGTGCTTATTAAGGAGCAGCAACGGAAAGTACAGTCATTCTACAAAGGCTAGATTTTTGTTTTGTGGCTTTTGTGCGAACTCCTCATTGACATGAGTGGATGTCTTGTTGAGCATAGGGAGTGGGGGTGTGGAGCACTAAGGCTATGTCTAGATTGCATCCCTTTTTCGAAAAAGGGATGCAATCTAGACATAGCCTTA